GCCACCCTAATCACTGTTACCATTCTTCCAAAATGTGTCATATTTCCTTCCTCAAAGTAATTATCCTCCTAAAGGGATGGAGGTAGGACCATATACACCGGTCTCCTGACATTAATTACAGAAAGGGGCCAGATGCACCTGCACTACCATTACTGCTGGAAAACCACATTTCCATTTCTATTAAATTTCTCTATTTTATAGTTCCATTATAATAACTGACTCCTGAGTTTGTCCTCATTGGTTCCATAGCTAAGAGAAACACTGGGCAATGTGTGGATAAATGCCTATTTAACAAAAATTACTATTTATATATAGTAAATTATTATTTACCATCTTCATTGCCCATTGAAGGAATATAATCCTTAGGAGGGTTGATATGAAGTTATAAACTGAGGAAGTTATGTGTCATAGGCATTTATTATGTGTGCCTGCTCAGCATTAACATCCATTTCCACTTTTCTAGTAATAATGTCACACTTTTTTGGTGGGGGTATGTGTGTAGTGGAGGGCATTCGTTTTCAGGCTCTGCGTTTCGTGTGGCGATAGTCTCACACAAGATTGGGAATGAAGCTGTCAATGTTTAATCTCACCAAACAAAATGCTTTATCATAAGAAGAGTATGAACTTGGATCCAATATGGTAAGATCTAATTCTCAGATGTATATTAAAACTGAAAGGAGTTTTAGGGATAAAATAGGCAAGTTGAGGGAGTTTTAGGAATGAGGAGGGTCCATGGGGGAGGAATACATAGATGGAAACTTGAAGACGCCAGGGTCTTATCTTACTTGTACAGAGGACAGAGCAATGCCACAGGCAGATGGAAACATTTCTGGCCTGAGCAATTCAAACAGCCATAAACCAAGGACAGACAGGGGTATCTCTGGCCTGAGCTATTAAAGTGACCATAGTTAGACCAAAAGTAGCCCTGACCTGAGTAGCTGGGAGAGCTATGAGATGAGGCTTTCTCTGCCAGCACAACTGGGAGAAAACCACAAGATAAATCAAAAGTGACTCCACCCTAAACAGATACGATGACCAGATGAGGAAAAGTGTGGAGGTGGGGGTCCTGGGAGCTGATTACAGGGCTAAGGTCCCACGGCAGAAAAATAGGGTCTCCAGCCTATTTAATGTCTGAAGACAAAGAAAGCAGCGACCACCCTTCTTAGGGGCCCCTCTATTCATCCAGGAGGGACAGAGTCTTAGGATTAGGAACTTGGCACCTTTCTTAGGCGGCCACTCTGTGCCAAGAGGGACAGAATTTTAGGCTTAGAATTTAGAATTAAGGTTTTAGAGGTAGTATTTGTTTGCAATAAAGTTTCTGTACTTTTCACTTACCACCCTTTGTCTGTGGCTTCATTCTTCGAATCCATCTGGACAAGGATCCAGGAAAGAAATCACCCTGCTCATAAATCAACCCAAATCAAGCTATTTGGGGAAGATACAATGTCCTATTTTTATTAAAATTTCTAAGTTTTTCAGGTATAAGTCTGGCACTGTCAAAATCCAGCTGGCTGCTGTAAGAAAATTGTGTCTGAGAATTCAGTGAACATGGAAAAATCAGAGGCAAGAGATATAGACATATTTTAGCCAACATCCTTTGAGCTCCTGGATCAAGTCACACCTACCATTGGATATTCGGGTAATATGAGACAACCAATTCCCTTCTTAAGTTTTAAGCACAGTTTCTAGTTCATTTGCAACATAAAGAGATCCAACTAATACAGAAATATATTGGAAAAATGAGGTGTTGCAGATGATTCATTAAGCTAAGGATTGGGAGAATGAAAAGAGACTATTGCTAAAAGCTGAAGAACCTTGACTTGAGAAGAACTATGACTTTGCTTTCTACCCATGGAATTGTAAGACTATAACAGATAAAAAAACATCTGCCAAATAAATGAAGAGCTGAGATTGTTAAAGCACTAATATAATTCTCTCTGATTTTCTTTCATTTCTTCACTCTCTTTGTAGTCTTTGACAGAAGTAGCTATCTAGAAAAAAATGATCTAATGAGTGTATTTCTAAATGAAATGTCTAAATAGTCTGAAATTAGTTATGTATTATTCATCATTATATTGTCTCCCTCTGCAATTTTGATGAGAAAACACATCATTTCTTTCCTTTTCCTGATGACTCTGCTGCTTGCGGGTGTTTATAAGAGAAATTGAGAGGTTAAAAAAAGTTTGATGCAGAACTTTCAAGGATGCTTTATCTAAAAGTACAATCTGATGCAAGAGCACAGGCTTTGAAACTACATGGGGACCTGTGTCCCACTCACAGCTTACTCCAAATTTGTCTATACAATTTTACATAACTTACTTGCTGTCTCTGAATTCTAGTTCTAATACCTATAAAATGGGAATGAACAATACAAATGTATATTAAATTTCTGGCATATAAGGATCAAAAAAATTGAGTTCTTGTTACTGTTGCTATTATGATCTACATTGTAGGGCATCTAAAGACCAGTAAGGCTTAATTCATCATGCCCTTGACAAATTTATTTTGTAGTTGCAAGGAAAAGACAGAACAATTACAATATAATTGAGGTTGTCACACAAGAGGTGCACAATGCTCAAGGGAGGGAGTAAATGCCCTTGAGGAATGTAGATTCTAGTTGCAAGGAGAAGACAGAGCAATTATCGTACAACTGAGGTTTTCATACAAGAAGGGCACAATGCTTAGAAGAGGAAGTACTCATCTCTGGTTATAAGAATAAAGACAGACTTTCTGAGAGGTAGTGTTTTAATAGGCCTTGGACAAAGGGTAGACAGGCAGATAGGGGAATGAAGCAGAGAATAAATCATAAATGAAAAAAAATACTACAATCTAGGCTGACCATCTTGGTCTGACTGGAGTTTAGAAAAGTTTGTGTTGTAGCTGCAACCAGGAGACAAGAGCCAGGCCTAGGTGAGCCTTGAGTGTCTGTACGTGATTTAGCAGGCACAGAGCTTCTGAAGGTGTTTTTTTCAAAGAACACATACACATTCACCCTCTTTTTCAGGAAGATGACTCTGCCAACTATAGAAAGAATTGAAAGACAAAGCTGAAAGCCAAGATGGAACTCAGTGTTGAGTTTTGTCACTGATAGGAAACAGGTAATAAGGAATTGGAGGTGATAAAATGTAACTAGTTAACAGATAAGGGTGTGTGACTTAGTTATGATGATTTTCAGGAACTGGTAGAATGTGAGGATGCGCATCAGAAAGTGATAGTTTCTAACAAAATAATATTCAATGTCTCAGTACACCAACTTAGACATTGTAAATAGTATTTCAGTAAATGAGGGCAGAGTTGAAACTATAGTTGGACCCTGTTCACTTACACATGTTAACTGCTCTCCCAGCCAAGCAGCCCTTGTTCTCACAATATATTGTACACTGCTTCCTTGTCAAGCAGGAGGAGATAACTCCAGGGTCACAAGGACAAGTTATGGTTTATTGTGCAGAAGGAATGCCTTTAAGAAAGTTGCGACCATCTACTCATGCCTAAAAGTCTGGTTGCACGAGGTGTTATCTGAGACAGAACAAACACACAGTTTCTCCCTCAGTTCCCTGAAACACCCCTCCCCTACTCATTAGCTACATAAAACTCCCTACTTTTGCCTTTTGGGGAAGACAAATTTCAGAGATCTTGCTCTCCACTCCTCTTGTTTTGGCCAAATCAAATAAACCTTTCTCTGTATCCCAGCTGGTATTTCAGTGTATGGTTTTAACTGCACATTAGGCACATGAACCTGAATTTGGAATTTTGCACAACAAAACTTCATAAAGTTTCCCTCCCTCACTGCAGGAAATAGCACTTGCGTATGCAAATACCACAAATCTTAATTCAATTAAAAACTCAACAATTATTTTCTGAAAGGCCTATAACGTTGAAAAGCTTTTGGATTGAACTACATAAATGACTTGAAAAACACAATAGTGCCAAGACCAGAGATTAATTTTTATTTGCCAGACTGTTATTTTATAATTCCCAATTTTCTAGGGACTTATGTCACCCTAAAAGCTAGCATTTACCACTATCATCAACATAATTGTAACACAGGGGAGTTCAGGGGGTTGCAATTCTCTTCATAACAGTAGTACCAATTTACTAAACCAGTAGGAGTGCTGGATTTAAGTGTTGTGCTTGGTAGAAAATTTGGAACAATTGGTTTGGCTCTGTACAGACCTTATGGGAGTCTTAGATGATTTTGAGTGTCCCGATTAAGCACTTCCAAAGAGAGCTGCCATTCTTCTGCCAACTGCTCCACTGAGAGATTTGCTTTTTCTGTGTCATATAATTTATTAACAAGGGGATTAAATTGGGTTCTGAATCACCTCTGTAAGAAACATGGACTCAGGTAGGGCATAAACCTCATTTATAAAAATATTTAAAAACTGACAATAACGCCTATGGAACAATGCTATGATTTTACCAACTATAACTACATTCCTTAAAAAAAATAAACTTTTAAATACAAAAAAATATAATGTCCCTCTATTTGCAATTATAATTCTCATTTCTGAGAAAGATAAGTACATTTTAAAAGCACAAAGAGACAATTTTTAATCTAAAATTTAAAATAGAAAAGCAAAGGGAGACTTGATAAAATGTACTCTCATGCAAAGAACTACCAATTTATCGCCATATGGGAACTCTATGTGTGTGCATGCATGCACACATATGCATTCATGTGTGCGTGTATCAATAGACATAATACACATGCTTGTCTCATACATAAATAGTTAAGTTGAAAAGGTCAAGCTTTGCAATATGTTTCTAGAAAATAGATTTTATCCAGGCAAATATATTCGTCATTTTACATATTTTACATGCTGTAAGACTGGTTATGAACATAAAACCATTTTTTTTTACTTTTTTTTTTCAGAGAGGGCTTTCTCTGCATGTTTTCTCTGGCATATTCTTAGAAACAATTGAAGTACAAAACTATAGGTAGCAACAGCATTTCAATATATAACACAGTAGAGTTGAAATCATCACTCCAGCTCTTTTTAAAATCTCATTGCTATTGGTAGTTCCTCCTAATTCTTCCATCAGTTTCTGTTTGGGGTTTTTCACACTGTTTCTAAAGAAAATTTTCCTCGTGTGTGTCTTGAATTGTAGGTTCGTGGGCTAACGGATGAGATGTATTTATGACCACATTGTTTTTAGCTCTTAGGGCATAGGCTTCCTTGGACTGTGCTCTTTTTTGGCAGAACTGGAGGTGAAAAGCCTCTTCAAAGCCACGGCGAAAATTCTCATTGAAGAAACCATAAATGATGGGGTTGATGCTGCTATTGCAAAAGGCCAGCCAATGTGCAAAAGGGTAGATGTAGATGTTGATGACCTGTAGTTCATTTGGAGACAGCTCAGCGTAGTCTGAGAGCATCATCAGAGTCCACAAGGGCAGCCAGGAGATAATAAAAAGTAGGGCCACAATCAGGAGCATCTTAATGACCTTCTGCTTCTTCTTGGACACCACGTGCCACTGCTTCTTGTTCTGCTTGCCTGTGTGAGGCACTGTCACCTTGAAGAGTGAAATTCCAATCCTTCCATACATGATGACAATGAGGGACAGGGGAGCCAGGTAGATATTAGCAAACAGCACAGTGGTGTAGATCTTCCTCATTTCCTTATTTGGCCAGTCTTCCCGGCACCAGTAGACAGGCATGGTTTTATTCTCAGAGTTGAGTTTCACTCGGTAATATTTTTCTTCTTGTACATGTAACATTATTGCAGATGGGGAAATAATGGCAATGGCCAGGACCCAGATGATCGCAATAATGACGACTGCTGTCTTGATAGAGAGCTTTGGTTTAAAAGGGTAGACAACACTCCGGAACCTGTAATTAAAAGCAAATATCAGTTGAGGCAGTGCCTTATAACTTCTAACTTGTGAATTAAATTTATTTAAGCAACCCCACATTCTTCTCAAAAACATAGAAAGTTACCATTAGTAGCAGAAAGGCATGCATTTTCTCTAATTGATATGAGATACATTTCAATTGAAAATATAAATAAGTGGAGTATATAAGACACTATTATTAGTAAAAGTAATAGTGGTAACTATTATGTATTGAATATGAATATGTAATACTCTCTTCCATTCTTTTCCATTGATTTGCATGAATTATCTCTGTTAAGCGTCATCATTTAAAACGGGAAAACAGGCCTAGGAAAGGTAAAGATATTGTCCATAATTACACACAATTGTTACACAAGTAGTTTACCTCCAAAGCCCATATTCTTAAACTCTTCTTCTTCATGCCCTTCTGTGGCCCTCTCCCATGTTAACTGTGTGCTTGGCCATGTAACTTTCCTTGGCCAATGGGACATGGGCAAGCACTTGTGTATTGGGGCTTGTCCTTTTGGAATGCTTCCTCTTGAAAGCCAGCTACTAGGTTATAAAGAAGCTTGAATTAGATGAGAGACTGTGTGGAGAGAGACCCTGGGCCATGAGAGGCTGGTCACCCAGAACGATCCAGCCCCAGTTTAGTTCCCAGGATAACGCTGCAGCAGGACTGATTTCAGCTACAGCACACTGAGCAGAACCACAAGGGGCAATCAACCAAGCCGCAGAATCATGGGTAATACTAAAGAATTATTGTTTTAAGCCACTATGTGTTTTGGTGGTTTGCTTCACAGCTACGAGAGTCGAGTTTCTATTATAAATTCTGATTACGCACCTTTCCAAAGGTCTATGTCCTCTGGTGAACATAGAAATTCAGCATCAGTATGTAGACTGAGTCTGATTCATTTTACCGTTATTTTGTTCTTGTGATTCTTCATGTTACTATTAGTGATACTCATTATGTTAATTATAAAATAATCATACCATTATGCAATTGTATAACATTTTATAGTTTTCAAGTTACTATCACCTATTTAATCTTCTTTTATTTTTGTGTTGACTCTATACAACTTAAATGTTATGAAAAATTATTACTTTCCAGATCTACACTTAAGAAAACTTTAGAGCTTTTTCATGGTTCAGCAGCAACTCAAATTAATTTATCTGCCATAACTTCAAGTAATGAGTAGTCAGCTTGAGCTTTGACTGCTCTGTTGTCCTTTAGAACTACTTCATCACATGCATAAAGTCTTCTGTCTTAACTTCCAAGCTTTCTTCTAGTCTTCTGATCAGTGAACCCTCCCATTTACTCACCATTAAATTACCGGTAACTTTATAGGCACAATTCTAGATATTTTGCTCTTTTTGTAAACCAACTATGAGACAGTTGGTTTAATAAATAAAATAAATATTTTATTTATTTGTTCATTCAACAAATATATGCATCAGAAAGGCAAAGATGAATAATAATAAAAAAATGCTCCCTGCCAGGAAATAGTCAATGAAAATACTGTGTACTTTTTCTCATCATGCTAGAATTTGAACTTGGCCAGTGCATTAGTCAGGGTTCTCCAGGGAAACAGAACCAACAGGATGTATAGATATATTGAAAGATGTTTCTTATAAGAAATTGACTCATGTAATCATGTAATTGAAAAGTCCCGAGATCTGTAGTTGGCAAAATGGAGATCCAGGAGAGCCAATGGTGTAGTTCCAGATCAAGTCTAAAGGCCGGGAAGCAGATGAGCCACTGATGTAAGTGCCAGTCTGAAAGACAGCAGGCTCAAGACCCCAGAAGAATTGACATTTCATTTTCAGTCTGAAGGCAGGAAAAGACTAATGTCCCAGGTCAAAAATAAGGCAGAAGTTTACTTGTAGGAAATTCTCTTACTTGTAGGAAGGTCAGTCTTTTTGTTCTATTCATATCTTCAACTGATTAAATAAGGGCCAGCCACTACATGGAGGGCAATCTTCTTTGCTCCATCGGTTTACCCTATTCTTTTGATTCAATGTCATAAAGAATACCTGCAGTTCAAAACACTGGTCATAAGGATGCTCAATAAACTTAGATGAACTCAGTGAGAACATTAACAAAGAGATAGGAAGCATAAAAATGGAGATAGAAAACATAAAAAAGAGCCAGTCAGAAATGAAGAATACCATAGCTGAAATAATGAATATATTAGAGGAAATCAACAGTAGATTAGATGAAATAGAAAACATAATCAACAATTTGGTAGACAAGGTAGTGGGAGAAACCTAATAAAAACAGCAGAAAAAAACGAATCAAATAAGTGAGATAATTTAAGAAACTTCAGGAACAACATCAAGCATAACAATATTCACATCATAGGGGTATAGGAAGAAGAGAGAGCAAGGGATTGAAAACTTATTTGAAGAAATAATGACTGAAAACTTTCCTATCCTACACAAGTCCAGAAAGCGCAGAGAGTTTCAAACAAAATGAATCCAAAGAGGCCCACAGCAAGACACATCATAATTAAAATGTCAAAGGTTAAAGACAAAGAGAGATTCTTAAAAGCAGCAAGATAAAAGCAGTTATTTAACTACAAGGGAGCTCTCTTAAGACTGTGAGCTGATTTCTTAACAGACACTTTGCAGGCCAGAAGGGATTGGCATGAAATATTCAAAATGATAAAAAGCAAGGACCTACAAACAAGACTTCTCTTCCCAGCAAGGCTAACATTTAGAATCAAAGGAGAGATAAAAAGCTTTGAAGACAAGAAAAAGCTACAGGAGTTCAGCACAGCCAAACCAGTGTTACAAGAAATTTTAAAGGCCCTGCTTTAAGAAGAAGGAAGATTAAAAATATGAAAACTAGCCCTAACCGGTTTGGCTCAGTGGCTAGAGCATCAGCTTATGGACTGAAGAGTCCCAGGTTTGATTCCGGTCAAAGGCATGTACCTTGGTTGAGGGCACATCCCCAGAGGGGGTGTGAAGAGGCAGCTGATGGATGTTTCTAACTCTCTATCCCTCTCCCTCTCTGTAAAAAAAATCAATAAAAAATATTTTTAAAAAATATGAAAAATAAAATAGCAATTACTAGATACCTATACTTACTTTAAATGTAAATGGATTAAATGTTCTAATAAAAAACATAGGGTGCCCGAGTGGATAAGAAAACAAGACTCAGACATATGCCACCTATGAGAGATCTGCTAGATTGAAAGACACATACAGACTGAAAGTAAAAGAATTGAAAAGATATTTTATACAAATGGAAATGAATAAAAGCTGGTGTAGCAATACTTATATCAGACAAAATAAACTTTAAAGTAAGGACAATAACAAGAGACAGAGAAGGATACGTCACAATGAGAAAGGGATCAATCCAATAAGAGGATATAACCCATGTAAATATCAATGCACACAATGCAGGAGCACTTAAGCATATAAAACAAATATTGATAGACAAAAAGGGAGAGATTGACAGTAATAGTAGAAGACTTTGACACCCCATTGACATCAATTGATAGATCATTCAGACAGCCAATAAGGGAAGAGTGGCCTTAAATGACACATTAGGTTTCATGGATTTAATTGATATTTTTAGACCATTTTACCCCAAAGAAGCAGAATATACATTTTTTCAAGCACACATGAAACATTTTCCAGGATAGACAACATGTTAGGTTACAAAACAAGTCTCAACAAGTTTAAAAAGATTGAAATCATATCAAGCATCTTCTTCAATCACAATGGTGTGAAACTATATATATCGACTAGAGGCCTGGTGCATGCAATTTGTAAATGAGGGTGTGTGTGTCCCTCAGCCCAGCCTGCATCCTCTCCAATCCAGGACTGCTGGCTCCCAACCACTAGCCTGCATGCCTGATTGCCCCTAATTGCTTCTGTCTGCCAGCCTGATCACCCCCTAACCACTCCCCTGCCAGCCTGATCGACGCCTAAATGTTCCTCTGCCGGCCTGATTGCCCCTAACTGCCCTCCCCTGCAGGCCTGGGTCCCCCCAACTTCCCTCCCCTGCCGGCCATCTTGTGGTGGCCATTTTGTGTCCACATGGGGGCAGCTATCTTGTGTATTGGAGCGATGGCCAATTTGCATATTACTCTTTTATTAGATAGGTTTACAAGAAAACCTGAAAAACACACAAACACATGGAGACTAAATAACATGCTACTGAACAATGAACAACAGGATCAAGGAAAAAAAATCAAAAGATACCTTGAGACAAATAAAATGAAAACACATGACTCAATCTATAGTACACTGCAAACGCAGTTCTAATAGGGAAATTCATAGCAATATAGGCCTACCTAAAGAAACAAAAAAAAGCTTCAATAAATACTTTATCTGTACACCTAAAGAAAGTAGGAAAGGAACAAACAAAGCTCAAAGTGAGTAGAAGAAATAAAATAAATATCAGAGCAGAAATAATCAAAACAGAGCCTAAAAGAAAATAATATAAAAGAGCAATAAGCCCTTGTTGATGTTGCTTAGTGGTTAGAGCACCGGCCTGCACACCAAAGGTTCATGAGCTCAATTCCCGGTCAAAGGCACATACCTGGGTTGTGGGTTCGCTCCCACACATGGTCAAGCATGTGTAAGAGGCAACCAGCTGATGTGTCCCTCTGACATCAATGCTTCCCTCTCTCTCTCTCTCTCTCTCTCTCGCTCTCTCTCTCTGTCTCTCTCTCTCTCTCTCTCTCTCTCCCCCCCCCTCTCTCTTTCTCTCTCCACCCTCCCTTCCACTCTCTCTGAAAAGCAATGAAAAGAATATCCTCATGTGGGGGGGGGGGGGGGAATAGATCAATAAAACCAAGAGCTGATTTATTAAATTAAAAAAATTAAGATAAATACAATTAATAAATCTTTAGCCAGACTCATCCAGAAAAAAGAATATGCAATAATAATAATAATAATAATAATAATAATCTAGTCTGATAGTAACAGGACATAGTATATTTGGAAACTTAATGTAAAAATATATCTTTGGTATAATGTGGTTAGTATATGTTTGCATTTATTTTCTCTACCTGTAAACCAAATAAACTAGATCTACATGATAAGTTCTAGAAATAGATTAAAACATTGTAAATAATGATGGAAACAATAGATTAATATTAAAAATAGAATCTATCAAGTTTTTTATGTCAATAATTATACTACATTTTATGTTTTTTGATCTCTATGTGTGTGTGTATGTGTGTGTTCTCTTTATATACATATTCTATGTCTGTCTCACATATATACATAACCCAATTTAATAGATTATACAGTTCTCCAGCTAGGTGAATTAGTTGCAGACATGCCCATTTTTCTGGATTCAGGTTGTGGTGTTGACTTACCTATCCACTGCTATTGCAACCAGTGTAAAGACTGAAGCTGCAACAGATATTCCCTGAACCAAACCACTGATTTTGCACATTGTGCTTCCAAATGGCCATCCTGAAAGGAAAAGGAACACTTTAGTCTTTGAAAAAACATCACTTTTTACAATTTCACTGAAAATATAAACAGAAAGGCATTAAATCAAGACTGATGTAACTTTTCTAAATGGTATCCATGGAACAATCAATGTTTCCCATTATTTTCATTAGTATCTTCAGAGCTCTGTGTTTTTTTGTGGGTTGTTTTTTTTTTTCAGCATACTAACAATATCAAAACATTCTAGGCACAGTAACAGTGCTTTCTAGTAACATATCAAATCCCCACAATAGGCTTTTGAAAGCTTTATTATTCTCACTAGAGGCCCAGTGCACAAAAATTTGTGCACTCTGGGGAGTCCCTCAGCCCGGCCTGTGCCCATTCACAGTCCAGGACCCCTTGGGGGATGTCCACCTGTCGACTTAGGCCCACTCCCTGGGGGATCAGGCCTAAGCTTGCAGTCAGACATCCTTCTGGCAGCCAAGGAGCTCTCAGGGGATGTCCGACTAAAGGCTTAGGGCCCCAAGGGATCGGGTCTAAACCGATAGTTAGACATTCTTAGTGCTGCCACAGAGGTGGGAGAGGCTCCTGCCACCACCACTGCGCTGGCCAGCCATGAGCCAGCTTCTGGCTGAGTGGCACTCCCCATCTGGAAGTGCACTGACCACCAGGGGGCAGCTCCTGCATTGAGCATCTGCCCCCTGGTGGCCAGTGCGCACATAGAAACCAGTCATTCTGCCATTCACTCAATGTGCATATTAGCCTTTTATTATTATTATATAGGATGTCCCCTTTTATTATTATTATATAGGATGTCCCTATTTCCCCCCTTTTGCCCCCTCTACCCAGCTCTTGCCCCCCACTTCTCTCTGGCCATCACCTTACTGTTGTCTGTGTCCATGGGTTGTGCATATATTTTCTTTGGCTAATCCCTTCTTTAAATTCACTTCTTTAAATTTTTATTTTCAGATAAGTGCTTATAACTGCACTATTATACTATTATATACTTTCTATTATATCATTTAGAATTAAGATATTTTTTAATTGAACCCTTGTAAATTTTTGCACAATTTAATAAATTATGCTAGAAGCAATTAGATTTTTCATGTAATGCAGATACATGTCAATTAATATTTTATTAATTTTTAATTTTTTAATATTTTAATTTGAAATAATCTCATACATGTAAAAAACTATAAAATACTACAGCATATTATATACCCTTCACCCAATTTCTTAGGTGTTAATAATTTAAACATAACCATTATACAACTAACAAAATTTGGAATATATTTTTCTTATAATCTCTTTAATGTTACTTAATCCATTTACTTTGTTTTTGTTCATCTTCACCCAAGGATATTTTTCCATTGAATTTTAGAGAGAGTGAAGGGAAAGGGAGAGACACATTGATTGGTTGCCTCCTGCACATGTTCTGATAGGGAATGGGGATCAAGCCAGCAACTGAGGTACATGCCCTTGACTGGAATCAAACCTGGGACCCTTCAGTCCATGGGCTAATGCTCTATTCACTGAGCAAAACAGGCTGCAGCTTAATTTATTTACTTTTAATCTATATGTGTCTTTATATTTAAAGTGGGTTTTGTTTTTGATTCACCCTCATAATCTGTCTTTTAATTGGTGCATTTATGCCACTGACTTTCAGAGTGCTTACTCATAGAGTTACTACCATATCAGGCGGCTTCTGGGGCTTCTGGGGCCGGCCTGCGGCCCAGGATCGGATCTGATCACCGGCGGCAGGCAGGCGGCTTCTGGGGTCGCACACGGGGGCCTGGATGGTGGCTTGTGCTGGCAGCTCACGCTGTCCCGTCCTGCCTGCAGTATGCAAATTAGCCACCATCTTTGTTGGTGGTTAATTTGCATATCACGCTGATTAACCAATGGGAGGCGTAGGAAGGTACGGTCAATTACCATGTTTGTCTATTATTAGATAGGATGATATAGACTAAATAATAAGCACATATGTATCACATGCCTTGCCACACAGCTAGTTAGCATTATATTAAGGATTTCAACCCTAGCAGTATGGTTCCAGAGTCCAGATAATCATCTTTTATATAAAAATGCCCTTTAAATGAATAAAAAAGGGAGAAATTCGTTTTCTAAGTTGCAAATGTACCCTATAAATTACAGGAAAAATAAATTTTTATTTATATATAATGTAATAAGACATATTACCACAGAGGTACTTTGTTATGTGATAAATGTTTATGCCATCCCCAATTATATACTTAAGCCTTAAACCCCAATGTGATGGTATTTGGAGATTCAGCCTTTTACAAGTAATTAGATTTATTTTTCCATTTTATTTATTTATTTTCCATTTTTTAATTAAATGTATTGGGGTGGCATTGGGGTGACATTGGTTAATATGATCATACATGTTTCAGGTTTGGGTTTCTATTAGATTTTGATGAGGCCATGAGGGTTTTCCCACATGATGGGATTTATAAGAGGAAGAAAGAAAGAACTCTCTGCATGTGCATGCTGTGAGGAAAGGCCCTGTGAACACACAGCAAGAGGGTGGCTAACTATAAACCAGGAAAAGTACTGTCACCAAGAACCTGACAATGCTGGCACCCTGATCTTGAATTTCAACCCTCCAGAATGGTGAGAAAATAAATTTCTGCTGGTGGAGCCCCATCTATGGTATTTTATAGCAGCCAGAGCTGACTAAGATGTCCTTTCAGAATTAAGAGCACTCTGCATGGACAAAAGTAGTCTATTTAAATTCCTTCTTAAGTGAATCTCAGTTACCAGATGTTTATAAAATAAAATAGTAAAATTATTATAGCAGTTTGATATTCTAAACACCCATCTGCTATTATAGGGATGTATTTATTCTTCCACTAGCAAATATTCTAGTTTCCCAAAAGATGAATTCTACATATTACTCAACTTTTGAAAACTTATCTCTTAAAAATATCCTATAATTTATTTTAAAAGATATTCTTACCTAATTAAAAATATTACCATTGACTTAAAATAATCCACATATATCTTAAAAAAACACTTGTCATTCATCCAGACCATTTGCAATAAGAGCTTGAGTGACTCTACTGAGTAAACCAAAAGAAAGCATGTCTTCCCAGTTCTAAAATTTGGTTGTTTGTTTTAGTATTATTTTTTAATAAAAATGCAAAAGAGAGTGTGTACAGCCATTGGTTGAAAATTAAAGAGTAAGCAAACAACTTATCTCATCTCTCTTCCCAACTCCACTGAAATGATAGCACTAGGACAGGGGTGGGCAACCCCTAGCACACATGCCAAACATGGCACGCCAGTAACTTTTGCTGGCACGCGAAACCCTCTCTTATAATCTTCCATTTACAATTTTTGTGAACATTTGAATGGCTTAAATGTCAAATTACAAGGAGCTGGCAAGACACTTGATGTTATGTTTGGTTACATAAAGGCTTTTGAAAAGAAACTGGAAGCCTTTAAGAGGGATGTGGATGGTGAGAGATTTAGATATTTCCCAAACCTCAAGAGGCACATCAAAGACCTCCCAAAAGATGACAGAACAGACTGCAAAAGCCTTCAAAAGCTGTTTTTAAACATCATCAAGTCAACTACTGAGCAGTTCTTCTCAAGATTTGCGAAATTCAGAGAACTGGAAGAGACAGCTAAATTCATGAGGTTTCCAGACAGCATGAAACTGGAGGAATTAACTTACAAATGTTTTTATGGATAGACATGGCTGACTTTGAAATGCAGTTGATTGAATTTCAGAGTAGCTCAATTTGGAAGCAGGAATTTATTGACTTTAGAGTTGACTTGGAAAACACTGAAAAAAAGTGATTAGAGACAGGAGTACCAGAGAGAAGTGTCGAAAATGAACTATTGAGGACTTGGAATGCCATTCCAGAAATTTTTTTCTGTTTAAAAAACTTTGCAACAGCGGTACTCTCCATGTTTTCATCCACATATGCTTGTGAATCTTTGTTCTCAGTGATGAATTTTGTTAAGTCTCATAATAGGAATAGCCTGATGGATGACAGTAGTAGCTCGTGCATATCTCTGAAGGTCACAAAATATAAACCTGATGTAAAATCTCTGTCATCAGCGATGCAGCAGCAAAAGTCCCACTGATAATATCAAACGGAGTCATAAAGTTTTCTGTCGGACTATCAGTGTACATGTATACATTAAAAAATAAATGTATTTTTCATCATCATATACTATGTTTTTGTCGCTCGAATGAATTTTATTATTTCTTCAAGGTTCTTCACATATGTACACCTTAAGAGATACCAAGTAGGCGTAACATGTTCTCAAAATATTAGGGTTGGCACGCAGAAGAATTTTGAGTCAGAGATTTTGCTGGTTTTGGCACGCACTCACAAAAAGGTTGCCCACCCCTGCACTAGGACAAAAAGAACATAATCCATAGAAACTGAGATGGCAGATACTACTGAAAGTAAAGTTGGGCAAACAACATGATTGGCTGAATTATGTATAAATGGCCTTTTCTCAGGTGGGAAGAAGAATGGTGGTTACTCACTATGGAGGTAGAAGCACAGTGGTTCTAGACTGTGAATCACTAGGTGCAGGTGGAATGGGTGTCCCAATGATGCAAATTAAATGAAAGTAAACACTTTGAATGCAATACTGTTGGCCCATTCAGTGTGGAATGCAATGGTCAGTCAGCCTTGTATACTATGGCAGTAGATCAGATCATTTCCTTCTGGGAAAATGATCTTTCCAAGAACAGTGACATGAAGATTTTACAGTTGTGGGTTTCCCAATGAATGGCCCAGACTAATGAAGCTGAGGGTAGTCCAACCTGAATCCTCATACATGCAGAAGTTCAAGGCAGCACTATAGTGCCTTGTTCTGAAACACAAGCAGCTAAGTGGCAGTTGACATTAGGGAAACATCAAGTATAAAAAGAGTCTAAAACAAACAGGAAAAGGGAGACTTAGGAAAAAACCTAAGGCAGACAGATGAAGAAAAAATAAACAAACACAAATTATTATTAATAACCTTAAAGATATAACGCATTTTATCCATGAAACATATACATGAGGGTGTAAGAAACACAGAATATAGAAGTAGATCAAAGATTTTAAAATATGATAACAGAAATGAAGAACTCAAAGTCTGGAAGAGAAAGTTAAAATATCTTTGAAAAGTAGAACAATAAGGAGCAGAAAATGGAAGAAAAAAGATCTCAAATATCTGATTAATTGGAGTTGAAGAAAGTAAAACAATAAAGATTTCTACAAGAAAATTCTCCAGGATATAAGAGAATTTTTTTGGCTTAAAATGACATAATTTGTGTCCACCACAATAAATGAAAAATAAAGTAAAAGACACTCCAAGGCATAACTGCCTGAAATTCAGAACACTGAAGTAAAAAGAAGCCCCTAGAACTTTCAGGAAGAACAACATACAAATCATGAGCATAAGAATCAAGAGTCAACCAGCATTGGATTTTTCAGCAGTAATATCAGGTTTGGGAATAAAAATAGAGCAGTCTCTTTAAATATTTTGAGGGGGAAAAATATCCAACATAGAATACTTTATATAGCATAACTTGTCACGTATGAGGGCAGAATAAAGATATATGCAGATCTACAAGATTTTAAACATTTTAATGTCAATTCACCCTCTCTCTGGAAGATAACAGAAATAAAAGGAGAACAAAGAAATGGCATCTAGACATCAGAGGATCGGGAGAGGTAAAGAGATTGTTAGGGTGTCAGTGAAGGGACATTTCGGAGCAGGAGCTGAGCTCCCTGCCTGGAGGGCACTGTGCTTTAACAGGAACAAAACATCGAAGGGTATTTGGAGGGTATTTCCAGGAAGAAAAAGGAAAAAAAAGATGCAATTTACAGGTTATGTACCATGTTTGAAAGTACTGACAAGAAATCAACAATCCTGGATGTGTATTTGAAGATACATTACTACCAGGTACACACCCCAAATTAAACAAATCAAAATATGATGCCCTTGTTAAACCCAGGAAAATAAAAATCATCTTATAAGAGAAAAATTGCTATCATAGCACTCCTCTTGGCTCATCAGGGGTAAGATATATATAATAACAGGAATGTATAATATGAATAGTGATTCATTCAAAAACTATGATCTATATTATAAAAGGCCAGTGGCCATAACACCATAACGACCAAATGACTGGTCACCAGGAGGTGCACTGATGGGTCTTGCCGCGCGGTGGGTCTGGGTCTAGTGCGATTTCGTATAATTATATTGAGAGAGTAAGAGTAGGAAAGAGTGTGAACATATATTAGTGTGAATGTACACTTTGTGGTTTTGTATATATACTCGTATGTGTGATTGTATTTATACAGAATTTCAGCCACTCTTATTGCTCCCTGCTTCACACTCAACAGCATCTGACATGCAGTTTCTATGGATTTATGTTCTTTTGCTCTAATGCTGTCATTTCAGGGGAGTCTGGTAAGGACAACTATCTCTTCTGGTAGAAGAGGATTATGAAAGTAAATTACATCTGTACAGTCTGGAGACAACACATTATAATGAAAACATGTTAGTTAGAAATATAATAGTCATTACCAAAAATAAAGTCAAAATTTCTGAATGTGGCTGCCTCCTAGGAATGCAAATCAGAGGTAAGGAAAGGTAATGTATATGGAAAATTTAATTATAAATATTTACAGAGGGAATATTGAGAGCATTTGTTATTTGTGACTAGGCTTCTTGAGAACAATAATGCTCACTTTTATCCATATTTTTTGTCTAGCACAGTACTTTGAAGTTGAACATCCTTGATAAATAGCATTAATTAATGATAAACATCACAAAGACACAGAATCTATGAAGAAGAGGTGTTCTGATCTCCCACTCCAGAGAAAGGAAGAAAATAGGTGAATTCTATAGAGAAACCTCTTATTCTTCAGTAAATTGATATTGAATGTTATGAAAAGATAAGAACTAGAATATGGCTCATGCTGCTCTCAATTTTTTTGATATGTTGCTATTATTTCAGTTTTTTTATATATTAGGAATATGAATATCTTGAGTACAATTCATTAATTAGTAACAAATATTTGTTAAGCAGGTACTATGTATCAAAACTCTACTGGGAGCTGGAGATATACTGTTCTTATACTTCCAGAATATATAATGTAGTAAAAAAAGGTAGTAAAGCAGGCCCAGAAATAATATAGGGTAGTACCTATTACTTACTTATTTTGCACATGTAAATTACCACTTATAAAACGTCTACATTTTGAGAAATCATTGGGACTGCTGCTCCATCTTACATCAAAAATTGTTGGAAATCTCCCTAGCTAACCACAGAGGATTTAACTATATATTTATATTAGGTTAAAGAGGATGCATTAATTAAAACCAGCCTGACCAGTCCCTTGAACTTTAAAGTTCATAATATTCTCAATAATATTTCTACCATATTATGTGTGCTCTGAATTGTATTAAGCAAATTCAAAGTCTTCGGTAAGATGTGCTAGATCTCACTCTCTGGTGACCTTCAGTGAACACTGTAAGGTGAAGGGATTAAGATGTACAAATTGGCAGTTACAAAATAGTACAGCATAGGGAATATAGCCAGTAACATAGTAATCACTATGCATGATGTAGAGTGGGTACTAGACTTACTGGGGGGATCACCTTGTAAGTTATATAAATGTGAATGAATGGATTACCGAGCCATGGCTGCAGGGAGATGGGACATTTTCTCATATCATCAGTGCACTGCACACAAGTCAACATACCTGCTATAATGTTGTCCAGAAGCGTGATAGGCATACAGAATATGCCAACTAGCAAATCGCTTATGGCCAGGTTCAAGATGAAGAAATTAGTGACTGTGTGCATATGTTTGTTCCTCATTACAATGAAGCAGACCACTGTATTTCCCACCATGCACAGGAAGAAGATCAGAAAGTAGGAAATAAAGAAGACCGCTGCCACTTGAGCATGATGAAGAAAGTAGTTCACGTAGGTGATATTGATGTCTGAGTACAGATTAGGCTTTGTGTCGTTGACACTCAAAATATAATGCCAGTTTTCTGAAAAGTTTGACTCCCACTTCTCACTCATGATGGACCTGAACAAAGGAGAGACAGAAAAGAAAAAACATAATTAGAGTTTAAGAGAGACACTTTTAAATGATATAAAAATTTGGAGGCTTTCTATAATAATCCATAAGTTTTGCATGAAATTGAGCTATAAATAAGGCATTCAAAGTATTAAGATTTTAACCAAGACCATTTTAAAAGTCCGCTTTGTGCCATAAGTAACACATTATTCCATTTTTATTTCCTTAATACACTCTATATTTCACTTCTTTATCATACCTTCCATACATTTAACAGTTTCGAGTGAAACTTTGGAAGGGAAACCTTCTAAAATTCTCCTTACTCCTGCCTCCAAATACCATAGCCTGCCCAAACCTACTCATTCTTTTACAACTAACTTATATGTCTCTAGCTTTCCTGATAATTTGAACAAGATAAAGTGTGTACATTTTCAAAACTCCCACTGAAATAGCCTTCTAGTATTTTCTTTATTTTGGGTTTACTCTGTTAATTTGAACATTCTTTTTATACACTTCTGAGTGCAAACATAGCCACCATACTTTAAGTTTCTTAAAATAGGTCTAGGCTACTTATCTTTTCATTAAACATAATTCTATTCACATAGTATGTATTCAATAAATATTTTTATTTAGAATCTATATACCTCAACATAGACAATTCAATCCATCCCATGTGTCAGAGGTCCCCAACACCCCCAGGTTTGATGATTTACTAGAAGATTTAGCATATAGTACACTCAAAGTTAAGTACTATGATAATAAAAGGTTACAGAGTAAAATCAGTATATAAAATGGCACATGGGATAAAATCTGCAGGAAATCAGGCACAAGCTTCCAAGAGTCCTTTCTCAGTGGAGTCACACAGGACACGCTGAATTCCTCCAGTCGTCAGTTTGGTAACTGATGTGAAGTCTTATCTACCAGAGAAGCTGGTTGCAGACGTAATGCCCAAGGTTTTTAGAAAGCCGTCAGTTGAGCACCTTCTTCCTAGCATGTGTCAAAATTCCAGACTCCCAGATGGCAAGAAGGTGTGCACCATGATGTTTGTTGTTTGTACAAACAGATGAGGCACAGTGAGCCACTTATCATTTAAAGAAACTTTATATCCGTTTAGGGGACTGTTTATGATTTAGTTTCCAGTCTCCAACCAAGTAGGCCAACCTTGCAAGATGGCCTTTCTAGAGACAGCAATCTCAGGGCTGCTTGTTAACTCTGTTCTGAATACTTTGAAAATTGCACAGAAGGTTCTATGTTCATTAATGAAAATGAATTTGATAGAATTATACAACTGAGCCCCCATATTCTCTCTTTTGGAGTAGTTTCACGGACTCTTACTTGGTAAGGATAAATTCAAATGGGTCTCTACAGAAACATAATCAGACCCCAGTTTGCAGAAGATTAAGGCATTCAGAAATCTCGTTATCAATTGCATTTTTCAGTCTTTTAGCAAGCACACATTTATATCATCGTAGGGGAGCATCATTATTCTAGTAAATAGGACATAAGAATTAAAATATGTATTATTTGCTTCTGATACTTAACTTTGCCTAGTTTTCTCTTTATACCTTAGAGTAGAGTAAACAATATAAGTTACTATATTGTTAAAGCCTCTGATTGATATAAACATGTTAAAATTAATTGTACAGAGAAGGAAGTAAATTTGACTTTAGAAACATTGCACCATTGATTAAAAATATTCATCAAGTCATATAAAAAGGTTCAAATAAAAAGGTATAATTGAAGACAAACAGTAATTGAGATGACAAAGGATATCAAAAGATCTTTAAAGAGACATGGTCATTATGAAAATACTTTATTCCCACTTCTCGTTGCATGGTTCAAATTGGTGGTCATTGAGGCAATAAAAAGATTATTCTTTTTTAATATTAAAGAAAATGTAATAAGACAAATAATAATAACTTGAAAAAAATGTGTGGCCCAGGAGTATTAACTGAGGTCAGGGAGTTAATTGCTTCAAGGTGTTAAAGCAGCTGACTGGTAATCCATTTCTCCCACAATCATCAGGAAAATGCCCTCAGGGAGAGAAAAGCAGACAGACAATTCAGACCTGTGGACATAATACTTGAACCTCAAGGTGGAGTAATGACATTTGCTAGGATAATGAGCCTTCTAAATGTAACATTTTTAATAGGATATTACTGTATAAGTACTATTTATAGTAAATAAATATAGTATCTGTGGATTTATGAGATATAACTTTCTAGAAAATGTCATGTAAGCTGGGGTAGAAAATGGAGATTTTTCTTGGACTGAACACTCACTCTGCTGTGTTAGGTCAGACCACAGAACCTTACTTGGAGATCTCATCTATTACCCTGAGCCAGAGAGTGAGCATCTAATGCAGGAAGAAGGTTTCTCTGGAGTCATTCTCAATGTTCCATACCTGCTTTTACTAACTTTCTTAATTGCCTATATCCTTGAAGTTATTAGTAAGGTATGTAAGTAAGATAACTGAGATCTACGATTTTTTAAAAAAGTAACTCAGATTTTAATTATAAAATATAGTATGTACAGAAAATTAAATAATCATATATAATAAAAGCCTAACATACAAATCGACCCAACAGCAGAACGACCGGCAGAATGACTGGTCACTATGACATGCACTGGGGGTAGACGCTCAATGCAGGAGCTGCCCCCAGCCCGCAGGCCCCAGGCCAGCTAAGGCGGGTGTCAGTGGGGGTCCCCTGATCGCCCCGCCGGTCACCCCACAGATTAGCACTGATTGCCGGCTAGGCCTAGGGACCCTCTCTGTGCACTAATGTCATGCACCAGGTCTCTAGTCATCTACATGAATAAAAGAGAAAGATGCAAATTGACCATGACTTTGCGACACCCACCAGCCAATCAGGAGTGGGTATGCAAATTAACCCAACAAAGATGGCGGGTTAATTTGCATATGCAGGCACCAAGCAACTGGGGGCAGGGTGGCCGCTTGCACCCAGGCTGCTCTGAGCCTGTAGGCCCACATGTAGGCCCAGAGTGCCCGGGGTCCTGGAACGACCCTTGGTCACTGCATCCCGGGGACAGGCATCCTCGGAAGCCAGGACGCTCTGAGCCTGTAGGCCCACGTGTAGGCCTGAAACAGCTGGGGTCCCGGAACGCCCCCAGCCGTTCCAGGCCTATGCAAGCAGGCACCGAGCAGCCGGGGGTGGGGCGGGAACATCTGCCTCGTGTTCCTGCCCTGAGGCCACTTGCGCATGCCAGCACCAAGCAGCCTGCATCCCGGGGACAGGCATCCTCAGGAGCCAGGCTGCTCTGAGCCTGTAGGCCTGTGCATAGGCCTGGAGTGGCCAGGGTCCCAGAACACCCCTGGCCACTCCATGCCTACGCAAGCAGGTGCCGAGCAGCCGGGGGCAGGATGGGAACGTCCCCTGCAGCTAGAGAGCAGACAGTAGGGCCCTGCTTGCCCCTGGCCATGGCAGTGAGGGGCAAACAGTAACCGAAGGGCCCCCACAGAGAGCAGACAGCAGGGCTCTGCTTGTCCTTGGCCATGGCAGCGAGAGGCAAACAGTCCCTGCAGGGCCCCACAGAGAGCAGACAGCAGGGCCCTGCTTGCCCCTGGTTCTGACAGCAAAGGGCAAGCAGGCTCCCATAGAAAGCAGACACCAGGGTCTGTGGTGGCATCAAGCTGGCAGGTCCGCAGAGAGCAGAAAACCAAGGGGAGCAGGCCTAAGCCGTCAGTAGGACATCCCCTGAGAGCTCCCAGATTGGGGAGGGTGCAGGTCAGCTGAGGCACCCACCCAACCCCCATGCACGAATTTTGTGCACCAGGCCCCTAGTTAAATAATAAATATACAATTTAATATTTTAGTCTATTTCCTACTAATCTTTTAAATTTATGTTTTTACAGAAATTCTCTGGAGACAAAAATATTATTTTCAAGAAGATACATCATATTAGGGTAAGAATTATTTCACTTAGAAAGCTCTTTGAGGAGTTGTCTTCATAAGAGAAGGAAATGAAACTCACACTGCCTTACCCTCTAGAGCACAATGAGGATGATTGGAAAACCAAAGATTAATGAATACTTTATTAACTTTAAATTCTTTGTTACCTTAAGTACATGTATTATCTTTGAGTATATTAACATCTACTCTATACTGAACATTATTCTAATTGCTTATATGTATCAACCCATTTAATCTTCCCATTATGAGATAACTATAATGCTATCTCAATTTAAAATATAAGGAAAGTAAAACAAGATGATGTTATGTAGCCTGATGCAGGCTCCACAGTTAAAAACTGGAAGAATTGGCAAACATACAGAGAGGATTTCCTAAGAGTGTAAAGTTCAGCAACATAGCTGGGGGATGGGTAACTTGAGAGTTAGAAGCTAATCAGAATGAAGTCCCATGACATAAATATGGCCAAAGAACTTCTAGAATCTATTATGTCTAATATTTAATTTTAAACTAACTTCCGTATTATATGAAAAAGTACTCCCTGTGTATAACTGCAAATTGCCAGCAAGAGTCTATTAACCATAACTGTCTTTGTGGGATATAATTTTCAAATATCAAGGAAGATGTTGTAATGTTTGTGTTAGTGTAAGTCATAGAGAAAAGAACAGTTTCAAAGGACAAGACAGGAGTAGGAATGTGTCACATATGTCCAGAGAATATTTGGAGATACTATGGTAAAGGAGAAAGAAGGATGCTGGATTTTCCTAAGCATGGGATAAAGATCATCTTATCCTATATAATAAAAGGGTAATATGCAAATTGACCCTAACAGTGGAATGACCAGTCACTAGATGTGCACTGATCAAAGGGGGCAGACGCTCAATGTAGAAGCTGCCCCCTGGTGGTCACTGCGCTTCCACAGGGGGAGCTCTGCTCAGCCACAAGCCAGGCTGACATCTGCAAGCACAGGGCTCCTGGGCTGCCAGAGGGATTTCCGACTGCCAGTTTAGACCCAATCCCCCAGAGGTTGGGCCTAAGCCAGCAGGTGGACATCCCCTGAGGGGTCCTGGACT